ATTTATAAATTCAATGCAGTCCCTATCCAACTTCCAGTACATACCTTGTGGAAACTGATGAACCGATTCTTTTTTTTTTTTTACTTTTTTTTTGCTCTTTTATTTTTTAATTTTTTAAAAAGATTTTATTTATTTTTAGAGAGGGAAGGGAGGGAGAGAGAGAGAGAAACATCAATGTGTGGTTGCTGGGGGCCGTGGCCTGCAACCCAGGCATGTGACTTGACTGGGAATCGAACCTGCGATGCTTTGGTTCACAGCCTGCACTCAATCCACTGAGCTACGCCAGCCAGGACTTGATGAACCAATTCTTAAATATATATGGAAACTTAAAGGGCTCCAAATAGCCAAGATGTCCATGAAGATGAACAAAGTAAGAATTAATCAATTGAATATTAATTCTTACTATAAGCTATAGTATTTATGGCACTGTGATAATGGTACAATTACAAGCAAATTGATACATGGGACAGAATTTTAAAATGTGGAAATAGACTTACATGTATAAACTTGATTTATGACAAAGTTGACAGTGCAGAGCAATGAGGAAATGCTGGTCTTTTCAATAAATGATGCTAAGTCTACATGTGGAAAAAATGAATCTTAAACCCTACCTTACATTATACACAAAAATCAATTCTGAATGGGTTACAAATCTGCATATAAAAAGTAAAAACAACACATATATATATAAAACATCATGGTAAAACGTTTTAAACATTAAGCATACAGAAAAAGATTGGTAAGTTGATATATATTAAAATTAAAACCATAGTACATCAAAAGACACTATTAAGAGTAAAAAGGCAAGCCACAGTGGGAGAAGATATTTAAAACATATTTAATTGATGAAGGCTTTGAAGCCAAAATTTATTAAGAACTCTAAATCAACGAGAAAAGATAATCCAAAAGAAAAATGGTCATATCATTAAGAGGGTATCTAAGTGTTCACCTAACATTCCAAAAGGTGATTCCTTCCTAATTTCATTTACAAAATGGGAAATGCAATGTAAACCACTACCAAACCCAGCAAAAGGACTCAAATGTGAAAGACTGACAACCCAAGTGTAGACATGTGGAACAATGTAAACTTTCATATGCTGCTGGTAGAGCATAAACTGGCACAAGTATTTTAGAAAACTGTTTGGTATTACATACTACAATTTAATATATTACCATGTCCCAGCAATTCTAGTTATGTAACATCAGAAATGTGTATGCGTATGAAACATGCCTAAGAATGTTTACAGTAATATTATTCCCAGTAGCCTCAATATGGTAACGACCCAAATGTCCAACAATAGTAGAACAGATAAAAAATTTTTGGCATATTCTTTCATTGGACTGCTATATATTGATGAAAAACAAATTACTGCTATATGCAACAGTATGGATAAATCTCGCAGATATAATGTTGAACAAAGAAGCCAGACACAAGAAATGCCTATGGTATGATTCCATTTATGTGAAGTTCAACAACAACTACAACAACAAAAGCAAACTTGGTTCCTCTGAGTAATGGGGAGGGGCTGGGATTGCTACTAATGTTCTCTTTCTTTGACCTAGGTAGTGGTTACACATGTTAAGTTTATAATAATTTAATCACTTAAGATTTGTGCACTTACCTGTGTATTTGATACACTTCAATTAAACAATGAAAAAATATTGTTGGATAAAAAAACCAAGATGCAAAATTAACAATTAAGGAGAAACAATAATCACAGCTTTGTGCAGCAAAATATCACACATTGTGTAGTGCTCCTCAGAGACTCTTTTCTCCCTTTTCTCAAGCTTCCTAAAGAGACAACATTGGTACCTATATTTCCCTACCTTTAGCACCAAGAACCCAGAACAGTGTCTACAATAGCTCTTCAGTCACTGCTATGGGATGGTGGTCAGCTGGTTCTGGAATCGGCAAGTCAAACAGTGAGTGGGGGTGAAGTCAGAAGTGGCACAAGCAAACTTCCTTAGCAATGTTTCTGAGGTTCTCAACCCAGACCAACCTAAAAATTTATTACTATCAACTCTAAATAAACCTTTTTAAAAACCTTATATACTTTAAAGTAATTATTATTAAAATCTATACATAGTTTCCTAATAACTCTGTAAGTATATTAATGTAATATGGATTGTTAGAAATGTTGGCTGGGCATACTTATTAATTGAAAAATAATTATGGTATCTCCTTTGGATTTCTCAATAGTTAGCCTTTGTTATATTAAAAAATATTTGGTTGTTTCACTAGCTTGGCTTTCTCTCCCAACTTTTGACTACGTGGTATTATTATGGGGAAGAAAAATGGTGTAAGAGTGTGTGACACAGGCTTCATATTTATCTCTTTTAGTATATATTTATATTTATCTATACACATATGTACATAAATGTGCTTGGGTAAAGTGCCAGGTAAGGACAGATGTCTTGCGTGGCATATAGCTCGGTGAGAAGGGAAGCTGGCAGAGAATTGAAAATTCTATTATAGTACACAAATTGTTCTTATAGTCACATAATCATTCTATAAATATTTATTGAATTTCTTAAATTTGCAAAATATTGTTCTAGGTACTTGCAATACCATAATGAACAAATCAGATAAGATCCCTGTTCTCACAAACTTACAGTTAATGCAAGAGACAAACATTAAGCAAGCTACACAATTATTTCATGACAATTGTGATGAGTGCTATTGAAGCATATAACATATAAAGAATGGGAGCCTGTAATTAGGGAATCAAAGGGGAAGGATGCTTGAGCTAGTTTTTAAATAAAAGGACCTAACTGATAATTTTTTTTAAATAGAAGACCTCCTTAATAAGAGGACTCCCCTCTGTTTTTACAGCACCCAGGCAGCACTTGGATTCCATTAACGACCTTTTTGGTAGACAGTCACTTTTGACACAGCTTGGGGTGTGTCCCATTCCTTCCTGTCCCCCTTAGCCCTTCCCCATGATGGAGAACTATCCTGTAGGATGAGCACACAGAATCAGGTAGCCAGATGTCCCCGACTTTAAGTCCAGGTGCCTGTGCCTGTTAGTTTTCCATCTTACTGCTACTGTGCTCAGTGCTATCTGTCATCTTGCCCCTATCCCCAAGTAGCTGGAGTCCAGCCCCTGTGCTGTCCCCTTCCCAGTGCCTGGACCCCCATGTCAACCCGGGGACATCCTGACACCCCCTCACCTGAAAGGGCTTCCTTCATGAGGTGGCAGACTGTGCACAGTGAGGGACAGAGGACACCTGAGGTCAGAGACAGAGGGGCATTGTAAACGAGTCATCCTTCAACCCTGATGGGGAATGGGAGGTGCCTAATTCCAAGGAATTACATGAAACAATTGAGATCAGCAAGAGTGGTGTGGTGAGCAACAAGGGCAGTGGCCTTGGATGGAACTGGTGTGGTAAGCAGGGACAAAAAAGCATGCAAGACTTACAGATTGGGTTAATAATTTTGTTCTTTATCCTAATATTGTGTTGATCAAGAAGTCCATGTGTTTTTTTTCATAAGACATTTTTCATTTTCACCAATAACTTTATTGATTTGGACATTTTGAGTATGTCAGCTATCTCTCACATTGATTGTTCTCAATTAATATCTCCATTTGATCACTATCAACTTCAACTGGTCTACCAAACTGGGGAGCATCATCCAGTGAGAAATCTCCAGTATGAAACTTCGCAAACCACTTTGATATGTTTGATCAGTCATAACACCTTCTCCATATGTTGAACAGTTTTTTTGTGTTTCAGTTGCATTTTTACCTTTCTTGAAATGAATAAAGCATAATATGCCAAAAATGTGTATTTTTTCCATCTTTAGTATTAAAATGGATACACAAAAATTCACCAATTTTGATTTTTTTAATGCACATTGATATGACAGCTGTCACAATACAATCTAACAAAATTATTTCAAATGAAGTTAAAGACAACTAAGAGCTATTATAGCCATTTTATGGAAAAAAACCAAACAAATTTTGGCCAACCCAACAATTACAGGATGTCATTAAAGGGTCTTAAGCAACCACTCCAATGTAGGAGCAGGTTGGTATTGCATAGAGTTTTGGTCTGGTAATCAAACCTACAGCAAGGATCATAGGCCTTTGAGGAAATCATTAGCCTCCTGGAATGGCTTCCTCATGCAAATTGTGAATTTGGACTAGATGAGCACTAAGGTTTCCTTCAGCTCTAAAATTCTGTGAATACTTCTGTATATTCAAAGCCAAGTGTCACTTACAGGTGACCTTGTTAAAAAAATTAAAATTATACTTGACATACAATGTTATATTGCTTTCAGTTGTACAATATAGTAATGCCACATCTTTATAATTAACGAAGTGGTCACCCCTTAAGTCTAGTACCCATCAGACCCAAAAGACAGATTTGGGTGAACTTTTCCCATTTGTAGAAATGAATGACATTTAGATCCAATTGAGTCATAGATCTACCTAAGTAATGGTGACAGGGCTGAAGTTTATTCTGAAAGGCTGGGAAATCTTCTTTAAGGTGGGAAATGGGGAAGATGGTAGGGACCAGATGCAAAGTGAGTGTAATCAATGCTTGTGAGGATAGACAGCAAACAGATGAAGGCAAGATGGGGAAAATTCAGCTTACTAGGATCATTTAACTTAAAGACAGTGGCAAAGGAAAGTTTAACAGTGGGAAGGGATTAGTTATCAGCAATTCCCTTTTCCCAATTATACATTTTGGCATCTATAATTGACATTTCCTCAAACTTGTGTCTTGCGTACCGTTTTGCAAAAAGAGTTTCAAGCATCCCATTCCTTGAGATTTGCTCAAATAAAACTCCGATTTAAAAACTCTCAAGCGGAGGTGAGAGCAACTTTATAATCTGAAGGACAATTGTGTGGGTTTTGGGGGAGGAGTAGGTATAAGGAACTGGAATTCCAAAGTGTTGATGTTAATAGGATTTTGGTGATCACTTATGAAACACATTCCCAATTTAACAGCGGAAACCTTTGGGGTGGCTTTTACAAGGTATCAGTAAAAAGAGCCGCAGCCCTCTTCCCGGTCTAGGGGAGCATACCGGAGGCTGGATGCCGGGCGGCCTCTGAATGCCTTACTGCCTGGGGCTCTCTTCCTTTTTTGAGGGTCGCCCGTTTGGTCTCCCTCTCGTTCCCCCCCAGGTGCTGGGGAGGACAAAGGGTGCAAAGTGGGCATGGTGCCCGCCATGAGCCTCAAAAAGCGCAGGTTCTACTGGATCACCGAAGAGACTTCAAAATTGCCCAGAGCCGATCACCAAGCGGTCACTGCGCCCGTACCAGTCCGCGCGGCGGCCCCACACGAAGCTGTCCCACAGCAGCCACAGAGCATGGTCCTTGGGGAAGAGCAACAGCGACTTGCCCAACTTGGTGGTGAGGCTGCGGTGGGCCGCCACGCCGCAGGCTAGCTTCGAACCGACCTTTGTTGAGGGGGAGGCGGGGCCTGCTGCTCTCCGCGCGCCGGTAGAAGCGGCGTCTGGCCTGCCCGTTTCCTTCTCGTTATCTCCGGCCACCGGAAAGGCTGAATTGGAGCCCCAAGTCGGGGGCGTACATGGTTCTTGGATATCTTCCTCCTCCTCCCGGCAGTCCTCCACCGAAAGCAGCCAGCCACCCGCAGAGGGATACAAATTTCGCGGGGACAGAGCTAAGGTGGGCGGTAAAAACGCACGGACCGGAAGTGGTGGTTGTCATAGTTACAGACGTGGCCAGCCAGGTCCCAGCTCCCACAAACAAAACTAGACTCTCTAAAGGCTGTTTTAGCCAGTTGATTTGGGAGAGGACCAGACCGGAAATCGCTGTTTCCATGGTGACCCTTTAGCGGGTTGCCTGGTACTTGACCCATTTTGGTCTGTTTGAATCTCTGCTGTAGCGTCATTTCTAACAGATTCTGGATTGTCTGCGGCCATGATTCCTGGGAAATACCGCTCAGTTTCTGGCCGGGCTGCGAACAACGTAGGTTGCGTCTTTTACTTGCCCTTTCTTTCCATTCGTATCGTCCTTTCTGGCTGGCGTCTTTGTCCTAGGTGATGTATTGTTGGGCCCACGACTGCTGAGTCTGCTTAAGCTATTGTGTGACGGAGGCTTGAGATTCGTGGAATGGACCAAGGCACTTTGAGGGCATTAATTTTGTGTGATGGTTATTTGAAGTCTTGTCCCAGATCTGGGTTTCCCAGAAGGTGGAGCTGGGCTCCTGTGAAAGGCTAAGGTTAATTTACATTTCTTTAACTAGTCAGTTTTTTTTAAATTAAGAAAATAATTTATTATTAACAGACACCCCCATCTTCTTCACCTGTTCCATTAATATATTTACTTAAGCCTGAAATGTCAGGTGTCAAAATCCTGCGGTGCTAAATAGAGGGTTAAATTGCTGCAGACATTTTAGAAAATAAATCACAGTGAAAGCTTTAATTTTTAATTGTGATTATATTGTTTTCAGCAAATTCTCAGAACATAATCAAATGCCAGAAACAAAAAGCAAACACTCTGTTAATTCTTTATTTGCACTGTTTTGGGGAGGAGTATGTGTGTATGTTTAAGTTGAGAATATATTTTATGGTTTAATTTTTACATTGCAGGTGAACTGTGGGCTTCATCTGGTTATTCAAACATCGTCTCTTCCTGAAAAAAACAAAGTAAGAAATAGCATGATTTATAGTGTAGACTCTGAACTGGAAATTTTAAGTACATTTATTTTAGTCCCAAATTTAAACGTAATTTTTATTTTCTTCCTACATAAAGTAAAACAAAACAAAAACGAACCTCTTTTAAAAACTGAATCTTATTTCACCAATTGCAAGAGTAAGATTATTTTTAAACATTTAGACATTTTTAAAAGATATTTATTTATTTATTTATTTTTCTTTTAGAGAGGGGAAGGGAGGGAGAAAGAGAGAGAGAGAAACATTAATGTGTGGTTGCCTCTCATGTGGCCCCCATTAGGGACCTGGCCTGCAACCCAGGCATGTGCCCTGACTGGGAATCGAACCTGCGACCCTTTGATTCACAGCCCGTGCTCAATCCACTGAGCCAGCCAGGGCACATTTAGACATTTCTTAAATCAGAATCCTTCATAAAATTGATGACACATTGTCATTGTCATTCATTTGGGAAAGTATTTTCTTTCTAAGTAATGGGTAAAATGGTGGTGTGTCCTGCTACTAATGGAATCTTGTCCTGGATAAAGTGTAATAATTTAGGGTAACATATGTGTACATTTCAGTTAAAATAAGGGGAGAAAAATAGATTAGTAGTGGAAATAAATTAGGCTTAATGCTATTTAGAAGTTAAGATATGAAGAGGAGATTCTTGTTTTTCCCAAATAATTTCTCCATATCTCTGGTATTTCCATAATCTCTGGCTTCTCATTTGATTTTTGAGGTACATCTGTTTTTCTTTCCTTCTTGTCACACTTCAGCACTCAAACATACTCACTTCCCACACAATTGTCTCAAGACACAATACAATTTTTCTCCTTTAACAAAGTTGTACATCTCAGACCATCCCAATTCACTTTTTAAAGAATGAATAAAATGTTTAGTGTATGTCAGTGGAGGAACTCTAAAGTGAAGGGCAGACTTTACAGAAAACAGCAAGAGAAGGGTGAGTAGGGGCATGAGGAGGATGGGGAGAAGGATACAAGTCAAGGAGGCAGCATTTCACCCCGTTCTGAATATGAAAACGAACACTTGTGAACTAGAGCATTTGATCATCTTGAATAAATAGCAGTTAGCTAAATTAAATGAAAATATTCTTTATTATAATTGGTCACAGTAGATCCCCTCCAAAGCTTTGTTAATTGATTTCACTGGACAAATCCTATTCTAGCATTACAGTGTGTTTCTAGGAATGATGCACCTTATCCATATTCTTTCTAAACAATTTATTTTCCCTTGTGTGGACATAGGTTTTGAGAAAATACCTTTAGTTCATATATTTCATAAGACAATGCAAATGCCATTATGATGGTTGTAGTATGGATGAATCAAAAGCATCATAATTTTCAAAAACACTCATGTAGGTTTTTTGTGGCTAATCATGAGAAGTTGATTTTATTTTTTTCTATTCTGTCAAATAATTTAAAAGAGAAATCCTTTCATAGAAGGTTTAGGTATACAATCTTTTTATGTTATAATTGGACTCAAAGGAATTCCAATGATAAAACTGATTTTTCCAACAATTTAGTTTTTGTATGTTTTTGCTTCTGTTTCTGAGAAAATGATTCTTTTAATCCTTGTATTTGTGGTGAGGGTATGGAGGAATTGGAAGTGCCTCAGACTAAAGTCTAGTTTCATCTTATCTCATGAAATTGACTCTGATTCTGCGCGTGTGTTAAAATACACATAACATAAAATTTATCATTTTAATCACTTTAAATTGTATAGATCAGCAGTGTTAAATACATTGACAATGTTGTGCAGCCATCACTACTATCTACTTCCAGAATTCAGTATACCCATTAAGCAGGCACTCCCCAGGTCTTCTACCCCAACCAACTAGAAGCCACAAATCTGCTTTCTGTCTCTATAGGTTTTTTACTCTTGATGTTTCATAAATGGAATTATGCAATGTGTGGCATTTTGTGTCTGTATTCTTTCACTTAGCATGATGTTTTGAAGGTTTATCTGTATGTTGTAGAATGTGCCAGGTATTGTGTGTTATTTTATGATTATCTTTATTACTTATTGTTATGTTCTTATCTAATTTTTTTTAATCATTTTTTTTAGGTTGAATTAAGGCTAAATAAAGAAACAGCATCCTTCTCTGGCCGGCTCTTACAACATGACCTTGAAAGAAACTACTCAAGTAGGCAAGGTATTATCAGTGAGTAGAGATCAGATATGGTTTAATCTTCTTTGAATATTGTTTAATAATATTGACTTTATAGATCCAAATAGACTTGAATTAAAAATGAAATGGTAAATTGGTTACCAAATTGGTTTGGTATTTGCTTAAGTCAGAATTTATTTTATGTCCACAGCATAGTAGATTATTTCCAACACAGCAAAGATACTGTATTTTAGTTTGGGGGTGGGCCATGTATAAGAGAATCAGAAAGAATCTTCTAAATACTGTATTAGAACTAGGAAAAATGGCTAATTAGTGAAGGTAAGAGTATGGGCACACAGATCTTTAGGAAATAAAACAATAGCAAGAGTAGAAAGTTAGGAGTGGAAAAGAAATAACCTCCCTTAAAATTCATATAATTATAGATATTTTATATCAAGGGCCTTAAACTTTAGAGTGCATCACCCGAGATCTTGTTAGAAATGCAGATTTTTAGTGCTCCCCTCACCCTTTTTCCGTTCCCCATCCTGATTTATTTAAACGAAATTTTAATAAATGATTCAAGGGATTCTGAAGGATGTGGTTTATGGATCACACTTTGAAAAATACTGTCTTATATGATCTGGTTGTATTTCTGAAATGCATTTTTCAATTTAGGAGAAATTTCCTTTAGTACAATACAGTTGGGTTTTTAGTTGGTCGTTGACAACTGTTAGCCATTGGTAATGTGCACTACCGGATCCTTCTGTACAGCACCATGCCCACCTCCTAGGATTCTGTATGAGAGGGCTGATTGGTATAGGCCTCTTTTTGTTCCTCTCATTGCTGCATGAATATTTGATTAGTTTCCTTTTTTGTTTCATTACTTTTGGGGCTTACTCATGGGTCTTTCTAATCTGACATGATTTTTCTCTATCCTTTTCCTACACTCCTGCCTTGGCTGACTGCTGGGCATGCCATCAACCTAACCACAGTTCCGCGGTGCAGGAAACATCTGTCTTGTTTTCTTTGGTTCAGTTGAATACATGTTTACTGAGTGTGCTATGTGCCAGACAATGAATTAGGCACAAAGTTATAGCTATAAAGAACCTGGAAGATCTCAAGTAGGGTTTTTTATGTTAGCATTGTGAATTTCCTTCACATTTTTCACAACACTATCTTAAATTATTTTTCAAATTATGAGTCAAAATTAAATACTTTTCCCAAGCTATTCTCAAGTTAGAGGAGGAAGTTGGTATACAGATTTGTGAATGCCTGGCCACGTAAATTTATCTAAATCATAAAGTATTCCTAGATGTTTGCTAATGAGGAAACAGTATGAAGGCACTGAATTTTGCGAGCCTGAGAGATGAATAAAGTCTTACGTGTAAATAATGACCCATAAAACACAAATTAATTCTTTAGGATAAATAAACCTACTTATTTTTTTACTAAAAGGTTTCATTCAAAATCATTTTCTGTGACAAACCACTCATTTGTACCTGTTTTTTTTTTCAAAATGTGCCTTCTCCATAGTGTCAGGCAGTTTCATGCAAAGAAATCCACATAGTATGTAGCTGTCTTCTTGACTTCTGCTCACAATTCTACCTCCAAAAGCATAAAACTTTGGAAAAATTATTAGTAGCACTGTATCAGGAAAAGTTTGGGGATTTCTATTTAATAAACTATATCCTGATACCTAATTGTATTAACTGATTTCACCTCATTTTTTCTCTATTTTTCAAAATTAATTGAACTTATGTATAGTTGGCCCTTGAACAATACTGGTTTGAACTGTGTGGATCCACTTATACATAGATTTTTTTCAATAAATATGCAGTGGGCACATTGTATCCCTGGGTTGTGCATTCATGGATTCAGCCAACCCTGGATGAAAACCAGTGTTTTCCATCCGTGGTGAGGAGTCTGCTGATGCTGAGGGTCAGCTGTGTACATTGTTCTGTGCCATGTTATATAAGGGATTGGAGCATCCATGCATTCTGCTATCTGCAGGGGTGGGCTCCTGAACCAATCCCCCATGGACACCAAGGGATGATTGAAGGTTTGGGGCAGTCAAAAGTTCTATTTTCAACTGCATGGGGGTTGATGGTGCCCGTTACCTTCATGTTGTTCAGCATAAATT